TATATATATATATATATATATATATATATTGTATTCTAAATAAAAAAATTTTATATGTTTTTAAAAACATTTTAATCAATATAAATAGAAATATTTTACATTCATTACAACTTTAATTAGGTATAACATCTAACAATTTATAGATAATTGAGTTATTAATAATAATTTTTTTTATACTAAAACATTATTTTATTAACAGAATATTATTATAAAAAAATATGTTAACTTTTTCTTACAAATACCAAAAGGTACTTAATTAATCAGTGCAGTGACATATAAAATGATTTAAAAAAAATAAAAATAATAAATACAATCAAAATTATTCCAACAACTTTCATATGATTGTATTTGATTAAAAAATTTTGTTTATTAGTTCAAAATAGAAAATTAGATAATACATACAAATATTATGTAAATTAATATTAGCAATAATTCTTTTGATTTTAAGAATCTCGTAATTGAGAACGATTTTTATTTGCAGGATCATTCAATTATTCCTATAAGAAGAAATAAAAAAGAAATAAATAATTGGCATTGTGATATATATTTAATAATTGTATTGTCACAATATATTGAAGAGATTAAAAATCTGAAATATGCAGCTTGTAAAGAAAAATAGGTATAAAATTTCTACTGGGAAACTATGCATATGATTTAAGTAGCCGAATAAATATCTGTTTATTTTCTATAAAATGTAACAGAAAAGTTTATATTACTGATATACTAAATATAAGCTTCATAAATACAAGTCTGAAAAATCGGTTAAAAAATATAGTAAAAACTTTGTTAGTTTTCACAATAAAAATTATAGAATCGAATACTCATCAGAAACGTCCATAAAAGAAGAATTTAAAAATTTCTATAGGGGCATATTTATGCAACAAAAAATTTTTGGACTTCTTCATTAATAAGTATCATTATGATAAAGATAAATAGTACAATAATAGAATACTATATATTATAAATTATTTAAGTAATATAAGTATAAAAAATAATATATATTTTTTTCCGTTATAAATAGCGTTTATCCAAAAAGGTTGGAGAGATTATATAATAGAATTTCAATATGAATGGCGTCGAATAAATTAGAATCCTAAAAATTTCTTCATTACGGATTCACAGGCATACTTAGAGTCGAGGAAAATTTATAAAGATTTTTGCACTCCCACTTTAAGAGAGTTTCAATTACCTAATTAGCTGGTTAAGGTAATGGAATATAATCCATCATTAGACATACTGATTACATGTTATCTCATTATATGAAGTAACCTCTACGTCACATCTCATCCTCTTTTATTACTTCTCTCTCTTAATTTCGTGGTCTCGAAAATATAATTTACACTCTGTATAATATAGAAATAAAACAGGTTAATTTACGCGGATGAATAGATCGGAATAGCATTATTGAAGTATGAATGAGTTAACAAATAGGAAGAGAGATAAGATAATCAAGCATTTCAAGAAGATATTCTTCGCTTTTAGTTTACAACTATTACAAGATTGAAAATATTTTTTTAAATCTTATTGATCTTTTTTTTTTTTTAACTTTTAATAATATTTTATCTCACGTATGATTCTCTCGTAGGAATAAGTACATACTCATGTATAATTTTGCATCGTTACTTAAATTTCAATGAGTATGAAAATCTTTTAGAACATGAATTATCATTTTTTTTTCTATCAATTATCATTCATTTTAGTAGCTTCTAATTCTATGTTAATGACACAATTTTGTTATTATAAATTTTAAGTAGCTTAATAAATTCCGTTTACGCTATAATTTATTACACTTCTGAGTTATATTACAACGTGAACTATAACCTAATTTAAAGTATTCTCAAACTATTTTCACTAATATTTAAACGATTATTGCCATATAATAATAATAATAATAATAATAATAATAATAATAATAATAATAATAATAATAATAATAATAATAATAATAATAATAATAATAATAACAATAATGAACAATATGCAATTATTTGAAAGGGATCATAGTGTCATATAATTATGTACTAAATAAACTTTATTACACATTATGTATATATATTATGAAATCCTAAAAATATCAACAACAAAAACTACAACAATAACAAAAATAATACAGGACTTATTATTTATCCTTAAAATAATAGAAAATATAAAAAACAACTAAATCATAATATCAGATCATAATTTTATAATATAAATTTATAATTATATTAAGGTTTGAGAATTTAAATAATTCTAGGCAAAAAATTTGATTTACGTGTCACAAGATTTATGGTACAGTAATACATTTAAGTAAGAACTAACATCATTATTTAAGACTAACGAGGTTCATTTCATTTAAAACACAATTACCTCTTACATAAGAACAGTAATTTATAAAAGTTAAAATTATTTTTTTGTAAAATTATTCTGCTTTGAATATTTTGAATATAAACATTTGAATCTGTTTGTATGACAAGTTCTTAGTCATATTTATGAAAGCAATTTTTAAATTAATTAAAACACTTGTTTAAAAAATATTATGATTTTTTGCTGAAAAGTATGTATCCGAATGTCAAAGATAAAAATCTATGAGAAGCTATTAGAATTAATAATATAAGATACTTTAAATTATTATTAATAATATCCGATATGTGACTTTTATATTATGCAATATCAGTATTATCTCTTTATACTAATAAAGCATAACATTTTTAAGTTTTATTAAATTATAAATCATCAATGTACTATAAAAAAGCTTAGAATATAATTATAAATTTTTAAATAAAAAATAACCGTTAAAACAGATTAATAGGAAAAAATAAATAATACCATAACAGCTATTTTTTTAAAATACAAGTGTACCATTTATTTTTCAATTTATGTATGAACGCGCGCATGCACCTGTACGTGTATGCTGTGTGTGCGCGCGCGTAACGCGTGTGAATTAATCTTTTTTCTTGATCTTTTTTCTTGATCTTTTTTCTCACTCATACTTATAATAAAAAAATTTTTACCATATATAAATAGTGAAAAGATTATTTAATGAAAATTTTTACACCAACATTGAATTATTCAAACATAATAAAAGATATTTTTGAACGAGGTCAATAGGTTAGTTAAATGTATATAGTAAATAAATTATAATGAAAATTTTATCAGTTAATAAATAAAATGGAATAAATTTGTTATTCATAAGTCTCTACTTATATTTGGAATATTTTAGTTGCCTTCAGTTTTCATATAAACAAGTAAATCATCCAAATTATAAATAAATGAAATGCAATACATTTGTTATTAACTGAAATTAAGAAATTTTTCATGCAGATATCCAATGTTCTACTTCAATTGCTTTAAATATTCTTGAAATAAAAATTATTCTATTCATTTAATGTTATTTTTGGAAGTAATAAAATACTGAGTCAGTGATAATACCTCATGTGTATTATGTAACTAAATATTGTATTATAATAATTTTATAAGATTTGAAAAATATGAAATAGTTGAAGTTTGAAATAATCATATTTTTTATAATGGTAGATTTAGCAATTTAAAAGTTTTAGCTAGAAATTACATAAGTTGTATTAGATGTTAAATTTCTTGAAGGAATTTTATGCTTTTCGCGAATATTTAAAGGATTTAAATTCGTATATTTCTCTGTTTTAATGTTTTGCGATATGCATTATTATGTCTATTTTAAACATGACCGATTTTTTATATTACATATTTGTTATACTCGTTATCCTAGAAAGATATTATTAAAATTATATTTTGAGAGATGAATATTTTATAACTATAGATTTATAATAAATAAGATTATGTGAAAAAAATAAGTACTTAAAAATGATATTAAATAAACGAATATAATTTTATTACGAATATTTGATATTTGAATGTGAATTTTTATACTGATAATAAAATTTATGTACAATATCGCGTAAAAATATTTTTATCAATACTATTTTAGTATATAATTTTATTATAATAACGGCTGTTCAATATTATGAAATTTTCTAAAAAGTTTAATGTAAATATAAATTATAATATGGACGAATACTTTTCGAAGGTAAACTATACGAATCTCTCCCATTTAAATATTCAGAGAAGTTCTTTATTTTAATGCTTATGATTATAGAAATAGAATCACATGTAATCACGCTGTTAACTTTAATCCTAACTAACAATGAAAAGCTTGCGATTTCTGAATTGCCTAAGGTATATACGTGAATTGCATTGAGAATTCTCTTATGTTCATTTCTCCCATTCTTAAATAATAAGTATTTTATACTAATCAACAAGACAAAAAGTTTTTATTTTGGTCTACTTTATTATTTTTAAACGATTTATATGAAAATATAAAACAATTTGAAAATAAGGGAGATATCCAAGTACATTATGTTGTTTTAAAATATTCAAAGATAATAAGAAATATATATGTACTAATATCGTATCTTTATTATTACATTTATATTTATTAATTAATTTATTATTTATAGCAATTAATATAATTGAAATATTATAATATCATAAATGTAGATATTCTCGATCATTTAACATGCAAAACTCCGAAATAACGAAAGAATGTTCATTTAGCTCTTCGGATAACTTTTAGGCAATGGAGTTATACAATATTTAACATTTTCTTTATTGTTAATACTCACTACTTCGACAACAATGCAAGTTTCGCTTAATTATGGAAAAAAAACTACATTTTTAGTAAATATACAGATATATTTTTCTAAGTGCATTAACATTACTCCCCCCTCCCCGCCCTTTTTTTTTTTTTTTTTTTTTTTTTTATTAATATGTTCAAATAAGTTAATACACACTCAAATATATTTATTTCTTAAGCTCAATTGATGCCATCGTACTGGATGTCTAACTGAGTATTCCTTCAGACTACCGCATCAGCGAAAGTAATAAATTTTTTCAAGTTGCGCTATATCCAAGAGTAAAGCATAGCAGTTGCAAAACAACAGTCTCGGTATAAAATTGTCAAAAAAATAAGAAAAAAAAATAAAAAAAAAAAATAAAAAAAAAATCATAGAACAGAGCAGAGCACTTTCGAGAGGTGACGAAAGTCGACATGGCACACGCATTTCCCCCTCTTTCCTTAGGTATGCGGCTCCAGATTCGTCCTCCGAACCACGGCGACGTGCCCTCCTTCGTTTTTCTTCGTGAAGTGTAGGCTTACGCGAAGCCGCGGCACCAACACAGGAAGTGAGGGAACTCCGCGAGTATATATAAGCCAAGAGGTACCCGGGGCACCTTCGCACTTTAACGTTTCACCCTGGCCAATCGAGATTTCATCCTTCCATCGCTATGGATACAGTCGTGCGGAAGGTAAACAGCGCCATAATAGTATAGAGCTTAATTACTTTATTAGATTCAATATGCTCTTTCCTGCTTCTATAAAAATACTCTCAATTGTTTTTGTGTTACGCGAGTGCGCGAAGCAGTTATGCCATTTTCATAAACACGACAGAGAAGACTTATAGCTTCCAAGGTCTAACTTACGAGCCCTACCTTGCGAGCCCTTGGACATTGAGCTTTGAACAGATTGAAAAAGAGTTTAACGTTTGATTGCGTTTGTACTTGATTTAATATTGTTTAACCGGTAATTAGTGATATACGTGAGTTGTGTAATTTTATTTCATTTTATTTTATTTATTTTTTTTTACCTGTGATGCACGCCAGAGATATAAAATGAGTTTGTTACAACGCTGAAAAGAAGTTGCGTGATGACTGAGATGAGATTTAATACGGTCATAATTCATTACTTTACTCACTTTTTCCTTTGTTCATATGAATTTAATATTTTTACGGGACTTTATAATATATGCACTAGATATTTTTCAAATGTTTTACATACAGGCATTTCATGACTAAGTCCATAATTATTTTCTCTAATTGCTTTGCTATAACTGTAAAAGATTATAAAATACGTTGATAATGTAATGGTTTATATACTACCCTTTAGATGTTATAATGAATTACGCTTTAATATTCATTTGATTAATATGAAAAATTTAATGAGCTTTAGTCTTTTTTTGATGCGTCAAATAATGAAAATTGTTCATAAGCTAATTTTTTTTTTTTTTTTTTTTTTTTGTTTTCTTTTTATACACAATTTCATTATGTATATAATAATATATATTTTTGTAATGAATACAATAATGTAATTAGAATAGATCGAATATAGATGAGAGTAACAATAACGTGGTAAATTAAAAACCTTTTACGGTTATCTACTCGTAATAATTTTATTTTAAAGGATATCGACTTTGAAAATTCGATAAATGCTACATAATTACGATCTATTACATATGTAATATGAAAATTTATCTCATGGCATATTGGTAATACAGGGTTGTAAACTAATTAACTTAATGATTTCAAAGTCCCTACTATCAATTATGAATTATGAAATATATTGTAAATTTACTATTTCATTCTATTCTACTATTTAGACAGCATTTTAATCATCTTTATTCCTATATTCGAATCAATAGGTGAAAACTTTCGGTTAAACAATATTGTTCTGCAATAAACAAGTTTTTCTCATACATTTCTAAGGCGAAAGTAGGTAATTCGTTCTTATTTTATTTAAATTCCCAGTTATTCTACTTCTTTGGTGAACATACGTCTATGTTTAAGCTTTAAAGTCACTAGTGTGAAGTTCTCGTACTTTAATTAAAGATTGAACGGCTGCGAGGTTTAATTCAGTCAAACTGTCGCTTAGTACTCAAAGAGTACATCAATCCTCTATATTTTAATTTCTTTTTGCAAAATAACAGCAGTCAAAATAAATATAAATATAGTAAAAGGGAATTACAAAATGTGTTAGTATAAGCATAAGAGAGAACTTTAATATCTTATTATTCTTTAATTCTTTTTTTCTTATGGGATTCATATATACATTGAATAATCATAATTCTTGTAATAAAAATATATGTTTTATATTTTTCTACGCAAAAATCAGTAAAAAATTTCGTAATTTCCGTGAGATTCTACTTTTATACGAAAAATTAAATTTAATGAAAATTACAAAGTATATAATATATTAGATACTTACCATATCTACAGCTTCTTCTCATTAAATTCTTTCAATAGGAACATACTATTGTTTCTAGTAGCTTTATGATTCATTGCACAAAATATACTAATCAATAAGATGCTTTCATAATATTAAATTAAAAGTCTCCTTGAAAAAGTTATAAATTATATAGCTTTTCTATTTGAATCTATAGTGTATTAAATTTTCTAACCTTAATCAACAAACTACACAAAAATTATTTGCAGAAGATTAATAGATTGAAAGTAATATAGTAAAAAAAATTTAGGACTAAACATTTGTAATTTATGATATCAATCATTAAACAAAAAAAAACAAAATCTACTATGCATGAAAAAATGCATAAATTCAAATTTATCAGTTATTTTTTTTATTAAATAATGCCATTAAACAAAATTAATCAATTTGAAAATTATGAAATTGCATAACCTGCTGTATTTTAATGATTAACCGATTTGTCTTTGTATGTATTAAATATTTATAGAAATCAAGTACTATTATTTAAAAAAATTATATAATAGTTATTCATTATAGGCCCACTTAAAAGTAAATACATTTTAAAAATCATTATAAATCGTTCACATTCGTTCACACTTTTCTTCTTATGTCGACGGTATTTTAAACTTATTATTTTAAATTATTATACTTTTGTTATATAGTAATTAGGAAAATAAGATTATTCTTATTTAATATTAACAAACATTTCTATGAGTTATAACTACACTAATATTAATTTATTTACATAAGTACAGTTTTATAATTATTTCTGTAAATATAAAACGGAAGAAGTTAAAATCAAATGTTTATTTTTAATCTCATTATACATCGTTTATTTATTACAAAAATATTGATTTCGCACAGTAATTAAGAGCTTTAAGATTTTATTAATAAGATTATAATAATAATTTTTTATGTCTTAAAATAATGAGTTCTAGTCGCACAAATTAAATTAGTTACGTTCGCAGGAATTACAAAAGATTGTGTAAAATACTTTAAATAAAAGACCTAAATAAAATCCAATTCTTCTTTTCTCACTAAAAAATGTATTTCTATATTTCAAATCATATATATATATATATATATATATATATTACACATGAAATAATCTAAAATATTTAATTTTGAAATACAATTGTTACCTATTTAGTATTTGGGGATTGTATTTTTTTCAATTATTGTAATGGAAAGCAAAATGATTAAAAATCTACTCAATTGAAGTTTATTTCTTTGTCGTTAAATTTCAAAGACACAAGAGATTTAATGGGATTTGATTCTTATCAGTGCTCTATTTACTCTGATTAATTTATTCTCAGATACTAATATTTATATACATCGCTTTATATCCTTATCGATCGAATAGATTTTCATTTTAAGACTTATTAATTACCAAAGGATCTTGGAAAATCGCTAATAGTATAGAGTTAAAAATTAGAATTATTAATATTGTATATTTATCATAATAAATAGCATAATTTCGCATCTATAACGAATTAAAGTTTTTAAAAAAAAATTGTTTCCTGACATAATTATACCCTTGTAAATTATTCGAATCCTAAAGGCATTCTAATAAATTAAATAATATAACTATAAATCTTTAATTTCTCGGTATATAAAATACTACTAATGTATAGGCAAGAAACTGTTTTATTGTTTTGGAAAATTCTATTTCTATTTTCAATAAAATATTAAAATATTAGAAAGGTACGTATAAATGTGTTGATAAATCAGTGATTGAATATCGTTGAGGGAGGGGTGCGGGGTTGGACAGGGAATAACATGTGGAAGTACATTTTTGGAAATGGTACATAATTGAGAGGTACGGGTTTCGAGGGCACTGAGCTTCTCGTTAAGTCGATTTAACAGCGACGAACTGCCAATCTCCGTACACTTATCGATTGAACGTCAGTTCATCACTTCAATCGCTTTATAAACGTCCACGGTGATGGTGCAAAGGGGGTAGAGCGGAAGAACAGAGGATAAGAGCTTTCAGCTGCGCGCATAAGCCCCAGTTAAATGGAAAATTATTCTCGAATATGTTTGCCATTGCTACTGAATCGGTGGATCAGCCACTGCTATCACATACATTTATTATTTATCTTAATTTATAGAATGGAATAATATATAAACGTATCTCTGCTTCAAAACACTGTATTTTTAAATTTATATTGTTTCAAGTACGGAATATGTGATTTTTTTTTTTTTTTTTTGAAAAGGATACGTATTTTTTATTACTAACTTACTCCTAACTGTAACATTTATATATATATGTGTATGTTTTTTTTGTAAGAACTATAGAAGCTTCGATTTTACTTACTAGTACTTTTGTATTGTTATGGATTATTATAACTTATAGAATTATAATACTCATCATTTGAGTTGAAGTTTTAATAATGACGAATATTCAAAAAATTCTAGATTGAAATTAATTGGAAAGGATATGAGATAAGTAGCTTTAATATGTTTAAATATATCTTTATTATATATAATAAATCTTTTTATTATTTCGACGGCAGAAAATCTTAAATGAAAAATGCATTTGTTACTGATCATGTACTGAATACAATCTATCTAACTTCTTTACTGAATATCTTTAAAGGGTTTTTGTATAAAATATTTAAAATAGTTTGTTCGAAAATTACTTCATATTTTTGGTCCTTAGATTAATATAAATTTTTTGATAAAATAAAATATACAGATATACGTATGTGTTTGCGCGCGCGTGTGTGTGTACGTTGGCGCGTGCGCGCGTGCCTTTATGGTTTGAGAGAATAAAAGTCAATTTATTATATTGTTTGGATTTCTATGCATAATCAAAGTACAAAATTTGAAGAGTAGCATAAATTTCCTTACGAGTGCATATGTTGTATAATATTTTTTATATTATTTGAATATGAAGGTATTGTCTATTTTATAAGGGAGAAAAAACTATTTGCACAGTTTTATGTCCTAATAATAAAGCACAAGCGCAGAATCTAATTTATTTTATTCACATCGTACAAAAAACTTAGAAATAACAAAATCATGATATTCTAACTTTTGCTTATAATTTTCATCTTACTCGCTATTAATCTTCTATTATATAAATGTGCGTTCAAACTTTAAAACTTACTTTACTGTTAATTAAATATTAGAAATAAGTCAGAACATTACTGATATATATATATATATATATATATATATATTCGTAGTCGAATTTGGAAACCTGAAATTAGCATTAAATTAAATTATATTAAATTAAATTAAATTAAATAATAATAAATATAATTGATATTATAATTTTACTGTATGATTAATAACAAAAAATTTACGATTCATAAAATTGTGCATTATTACATTAAAATTGTAAATTAATTAAATTAAATTGTTACGATATTTATATTAATATAATTAATTATCATTAGATCATTGAGAATTTAACGATTGAATATGAATTATACGATTAACTTAATTTAAATTAGAAATTTCGATGGTATGTGTTAATGCGGTAAAATTAACGAAGCACAAAGTACTTAAGATTTGTACTATCATTTAATGTAGTAATGCTTATTAAATATTCCTATCTATACTGTTTCGTATGATCGAAGAAAGCTATTCTATAAAGAAAAGACTTCATCTTGTTGGATTATTATTGTTCTGAATGCAAGAGATGTATGAAGCAAGAGAAGAGAAAAGACACTAACTCTGAGTTTAAAAAGGCAAGCTTGTTAACTCTCACGTGATGTTTCCGTGTATTACTTATTCGTTGTATACGCTTCGCAGGATCCTTTTACTACTCATACAAATACACATGCACGTTTGTTAACATGGCCTACGTACACATACAGCATGAACGCACTCTATTATTTAACTAACCACATAGTGCCGCGAGAGGTGAGTATCAGTGCGCGCCAGAGTCTCATAAGGTACAATTTATTTTCTAATTAGCTGTGTACTCGCGCTGCTCCCCCATGGAGTACTTTTTCGTTCATATTCATTGAAACTGCTTTGTAACTATGCGTGGTGTAATAGCCAACGTAGACTATTGCCACAAAGAAGATGTTTAAATTATATAAAAAATGAATGCAGATGGGCTAAGCATTTCAATATATGAGTCCTGTACTATTTTTATTATTTTCTTTCTACTTTTTGATAATATTTGGAATTTTAATATTAAGTGTATTTTTTGTGTATTTCCTATGTGGCAGTATTATTTACGTGGTCTGTATATATTTTACAAGGAGAAAAGTCTTGTTCAATCATTTGAAATGAATCCGATAAAATATTGTCTAAAGATCATAAAAAAGAAAGAAAAAAAATATTTTATAAATTTTACATTTGAATTGTATATATATATATATATATATATATATATATATCAATTATAAGAAATGCAATATCAATTGTTATTAAAATATAGCTAGAGTTTTTTAATATCTACACATATATTTATTGATTTAATAATTTTTTTATTATTCAGAATTTCATTATAATCGCGCGTATTTTACAACTAAACTAATTTAGGCTTTACTGTACATATTTTTTTTTTAGGTTTTTCATATTATTGAAGATTATAATTTCGTTTATTAGTCGAATCATTCATAGATAAATGAGAAATTGTGTAATTACATAATATTTATCGATTCATTTTTAATTTAGCTTATCATTAAATATATAAATTATTTCATTTTTTCACGTTTATACTCAATGGATAATCATAATTCTATTATATTTAATTTTGCTAAAATTTGGATAATCACGGATAATTTTCAAGTTTTTATCTATATCATGTTTATATTTGAAAATGCTATAATAATTAATTAATGATGATTCACAATCTTACAAATTATAAGTACCTCATAAATATTTTAATTCCTAGAGAGCGGGAATGTCAATTATTAGATTTTTTCAATAATATCTTTATTTAATTAAAAGTATCAGTTGTCCTGTAAGGATTATCTTATTGCTATTAAATTGTTTTCAAAATCGTTATAAAAAAGATAGATACGCGAAAAGTAAAAGTTTGTCAAGAGTAATAATTTTATATTTTTCGTCTATAGATTTCAAATTATTCCGAAACAACTACATTGAAAATTATATTGAGCGCTGTTAACAAAATAATAAAGTTACATGACATATAATGGAAAATGAGATTATTGCATTATTGAAAAGTTAATTAAACAGATGGTTTAATCAAGCTGCGAGCAAACTTATCATACTACCATAATTATGATATGTAATATATAATTCATCAGTCGGCTTATATATCAAGTAAATTTAGAAGCATTAATAATCAATATATAATATATAATCATCTTATCAATTATATTTACAACATTATTATATTTTAGTAGTAATAACATCTGAGTGCGATAATATATTCAACACATTTACCATAATTTTGTTACAGCTCAAAAATAAAATAAATGACTTAAAACTTCTCACTTCGCTACCATAAATATTCATTCATTATTACAAATGATCCAATAAATATATGTTTTTGAAAATATATGCAAAATATTCGTCAATTGCGGCTGGAATAAAATTACTAACATTAAAATCTACGATGTATACAATTATCACAATTGTAATGAAAAGTGCAAAAGTATATTCTTTTCCTAATTAAAAATAATATTGTTCAACATTTAGAAAACTGTCTTTATCACCTGCGGAGGGCAGAAACTTCTTTACTTTTCTCCCTTCTCCTCAGTTCAACTCCAGATGCTCTTTACCAATTATAATAACATAGAGAAGTTCCGTAAGAAATTTCAAAATGATTTTGAAATTGCAACCCAGCCATGTGTATATAATCTGTCTCTATTAACTTCCACTGTACACATCCAAGAATAACGAGGGAGAGAATCAATCCAAATCCTATCTGGAAGAAATTAATATCGAATTTAGATTCACTCGCTTGTTCTCTGACGCAGATGGTCGCAGTAATGGCGCTTTGCGTTTCTCTGAGCCGATGTGAGCCACTAGCCTTAAGCAACCAGTACGGCGTGCCAGGAAATTTCGTGGGTAACGCGCCACAAGGAAACCAGTACCAGCAGCAGCAAACCGTAACGAACAGCTACGGTGCACCATTGGCTGATGGCCACGGACACGACGAGCACCAGGACTACATTGATAGTCAGGTACGGTTGAAATTCTAGTCCGGGAACAATTATGCGTTGATGAGCATTTCAGCCTTAAGTATTTTCAAGTTCGTATTCTACGGATTTCAACTATTCATGGGTAGTGCGAATGTTATCATTGTATGCTTATTATCTACTAATGCACTATCTTGTGAAATACACCAGCGAAACAGCGGTAATTATGGATTTGTGCAAAGACTGGGGTATACGCGTCTCCTGCGTAATTCAAGGATGACTTTAGGGAAAATTCAATTACAGATTAGAACATCCTTTGGACATTACAAATTTATCAATTCAATAAATTGCAATTGTTCAACATATTTAGAATTATTACTTTCACTCGTATTGCATTAGATTTAATCAAACATTGTATAATGGCTACTTTGAATTTAACTATTTATTTTTAATTACAGTCCTATCATCATTGATGATGATTGTTCTAAGAAATTTTAATCAATGTACATCAGTGAAAATGAGTTTTTATTTGACAGTATAACTCTTTCAAGGCCTCAACACTTTAAATTTTTTTCGTATTGTTTTCCCATATCTATTATCTGTCATGCATATGTAGTAAATTATAATTCAATCCCTATAAGTTTGCTACATAATTTGTGCTCATGTTTATTTTTGAAATTTACCTACACTTAATAAATATTCAATAACCATAGGAGATTTGAAAAATTTCATATATTATATGTTTATACAAATGTGTATGTAAAAAATACGTATTACATATTTCAATTATAAAATGAGAAATGTGTAAAAATATAGGCCATTACGAGCTTGTATTAGTGTATTGATAGGCAAAAATTTGTACAGAACGCTTTTTTTTTTTTATTTCATACCTATCTTACAATTAATTACTTCATTTTTTAGATAAATTTCTCTTTTTATGTATGTTAACGTAATATACTCATATTTTTCATTACCACTCTGCTTGATTTTTACAATAGTACTTTAACGTTATGAACGATTAATTAAATCTATTTATTACTATTACTTTTATCATTTCTATTACTATTTATCTTCTCTAGTAATACTATTTATCTATACAATTTATCATTTCTAACGATTGATAGAATAAACCAAAATTTGCACGTATTATGTGCTCAGCTATGATTTTTGTTTTACGAATCTATTCTACGTTGTATGGATATTTCATAGTACTTATAAATTAATAATTTAGTGAATAAGTAATGTTTTAATGTTATTATTTTATCTATAGTCTTAAATAAAAGATCGAATAATTATTTGTATGCCAATTTTTATTTATTTTACTCGTGTTTTAATTTTTTTTTTTTTTTTTTTTTTTTTGTACTCTGTAATCATAATTATGAAAGATTTTCATATTTTTTATATTCCAATACTCTATTCAACTGTTTTAGAATATTTGTATATTTTAAACGACAAAATTTTAATGAATCAATTTTAAACTGAAAGAAATTAATTGAAAGTTGAAAGTTGAAATTTTTTTCTTATATTTATGTTGACATTATAATATTGCTAGTCGATAATTTAATTAAATCTCTAAAAAATAATCAAACTTTATAAATGTCATTTTCATAAATCACGATATTTACGTAAATACAGATCATTTATATAATTAAGCAAAGTTTGCCGATAAAATATTCTCATTTTATGGATGCTACATTTTTATATTCTACATGTACGAATTATTAAAATAAATTAAATAAAAATATAATGTGTTTATTAAAACATTTAGAAATAGTTGCAAAATTAATTAAATTAGGCTGATAAATTGTCCGATATAAAATAATATTGTTATAATGTTACCTTTTTTATTGTAGAAAATTCATAGTTGGCACGAATTAATATAAAATTAATTCAAGGATATATATTAATAAGATATATAAGAATATTTTAATTATACAGTGATTAGTTGCGCTGTTTTTATAAATACCTCATATCATTATAAAAATACAACGGATTTCCTTTTGAATCCAACCTCTTCCAAATTCAAAATATCTAAGAAAATAAAGACTGCATTCTTGCTGGCGTCCTACTTTGAAAACATTTCCTACTCAATCGCTGGAAGCTTTATGTGTCTCATGTAGTATCGTTTCATGATGCTAAGCACAAAGCGCTCTTGAAAACAACGGCAAATAACGAGATCGGAGAAAGAGGGCTTTAAGGCCATAAAACTTTATTGGACCATGGAATGACGTAGATATTACGCGGACGATGGCAGATTGAAAGCTCTCTTCTGTCGTTTGCCGACTTTCCATTTAACAAGTGCCCATAAACAAAACTGAAGTATACAAGGTTTAGTTTTTTGATAACGGAGGGAAAATAAAGAGAATGAGATAGAGAGAGAGAGAGAGAGAGAGAGAGAGAGAGAGAGAGAAATAAAAAAAATATATTAACGTAACGATACTAATTAAGCTATTTGGGTGTATATTCATATTTTAATTTCAATTCGAGACATTTTAATCAATACAAAAAATTTACAAATCATAAAGTATTCAATTACATATAAAATATTTGATAAAATATTTATTATAAACTATTACATATATATATATATATATATATATATATTTACATACGTTTTGGCTCTCCTGTAGATTTATTAAATTTTATTTTGAATTTAATCGGCATTTAAGAAAAAATTACTTTCTTATATGCCTGAGTGTTGTGATAAGTTGAATTTCAATTTTATTTTTGATGAATAAAATAATAGAATATTCCTTTGATTTTTACAGTTCTGAAGTACAAATTCTGATTAATAGAATTTACTAGGGGATAGGTGTATCATACCCAAAGCTTTATTATAAATTCTCATTTTCAATATTATTTACTGGGCTTTTTTTCACGAAAATTAGACAATACAAAGAAGATTATTGTATTTAAGAAGCTTATTTGAATAAATCATTATTTGCTCTCATGAATTGCAAACATAAATTGTTTACTCAAAAAATAACTAATTAAAATTTACATAGACGCACACGTACTCTACAAAATGTAAACACTCACACATAAATTAATTTTAATTTAAATATATAAAAACTAGATGTTTATTATATTATATTAGAAGGAGGATTAAGAAAAAGAAAAATTTTTAAATTAGAAACACATATACAAAAAATTTACAAAAAAATTACAAAAGATATTTTGATATAACAGTATAATATTTTTAATATTGAATTTATTTTAAAAATTATCTTCCTAAAACAGTAACTTATTATTTATTTTATTGAAATACTTCAATAATTAACATAATCGATTAAGGGATAACTGACCTGAAAATAATACAAAATAACTTGATCATACTATTCTTTAAATTTAATTTTAGATTGATACAATATAATTAAATAAATCAATTGAATCTAAAGTTTATGAAATATTAATATTTAATTCACGAGTAATTAATAGAGAACATAATAATTTGTTATATATCTGAAATATATTGAATATTAAATATAAATACATAATATAAAAACATTAACATCTTATTATATATATATATATATATATATATATATATATATATATTTATATATAAAATCATGAATTGACATAATATTTGTTTTCATCTTTTTTTATATCTATTTTGTATTATAATTTATAATTATTATACCGTAATATAGTAGAGTAATTCAAATGTCGTTGATATATGTAAAACTAAAATATACTGAAATTCTGAAATAAAAAGGTATAAATATTAATCTTATACAAATGATACTTTTAAACAGTATGTATATAATCAATTTCAATTTGAAAATAATTAAGTATATTATTAATACAATTATAATTCTACATACATATATTTAATATATAATTGTAATTATGAAATATGTTCTGCTTCATTTTTCATGAAATTTAAATTATTAATCAATAAATTTAAAGGATTAGATTAGATTATGGTTAATCATCATAATGTTAAAACCAACAAATATAATATACTTAGATAATTTTTTTATTACTTCTTCATTGCTTTATCACGTGAGTAAATATACATACCACGCAGGCACTCACACACATACAGGCATACAGCTTCCTTGACATATAAAACATAAAAGAAAACCGCCCAGGCATCCGTTGTAAAAAGTCATGTGTGAAATTGACGAGAGATTTAATGAGCAACGCGTTCGATGATTCGAGAAATTCGCCAGCAGCATCCTCATCCTTCTTCCTCAGTGCATCCCCGGCCCACCCGCCACCTCGTCCACTACCCACTCCATTCGCCTACTCCTAACCGCCGTACAAGTAATATCGAGCTAACGAAGCGCTCGTCATTGTTCTCGGTCGATGCGCCCCAGCCAAAGTCCTATGAATTCGGCTACGCGGTACGAGATGCGGCGAGTGGCAACGACTTTGGCAGGCGCGAGACAAGCGACGGCGAGACCGTCCGGGGCGAGTACAGGGTCCAGCTGCCGGACGGTCGTACGCAAATCGTCACCTACACCGCTGATTGGCGAACTGGATTCCATGCTGACGTGCGGTACGAGGGTGTCGCCCAGTTCCCAGATCAGTACAACACTGGCAACCAGGGTTATAATAACAATGCTAACAATGCCAACAACAACAATAACAACAATGACAACAACAACAACAACAACAACAACATTAATGGTAACATCAATAGCAACAGCATCGCTAACAATTTTCATAATGCAGCATACGATTATGTTGGCAACAATATAGACTCAGCGTACAACAATGTAGCAGGTAATGCGATACATTATTTATTTATTTGTAAATTTATAAATCCATTGCTTTAATTTACAATTGCGGGCTAGAACGGAAGATTTTGAAAAATTACTCTAACATTATCCGTTTAAAATTCCAATGTTTCATTCCAATGACTGATTTCATATTAAAGTCCTTATTTATTACGTTAGCAATTAAAATTGTTTTATGACAATTCAATTAAGGAAAAGACGCTCACGGATAGAGAGATCATGACTATATAAGCATGCACACGCGCGCGCGCGCACGTGTGCTCCTATCATATTTCCACTTTTCTCGCATTTCATCTCTATATCTCTTATCCACACTTCATCCGTCACGCGCTCAATAACTTTTGTCCGCTCTCTCTTCAACTCTATTGCTGATTTACCTCTCTACAATGCTCGATTTCACAGGCAATCGTGGCGGATACAACAATTACCAGAGTGCCGCTAACAACTATAACTCGGGATCCAATTACAATTATCAATACGGTTCGAACTCCGTAGACAGTGGCTATTCTAGTGGAAACTCCTTTGGACCATCGGTTTCACCACCACCTTCACCACCCCAACCGACTTACGGTGTACCCTTTCACTGAGGGTCACCTAGTGTTCTAGTGAACCTGTGTGTACGATTACCGTGTTTAATTCTAGTGACTTTCTTTCCTCGGACTTACACTCGAATGAACGTAATTCGTTAATCAACTAAGAGCTTATATTCTCTTATTTAAGTTCCAATATTAATTTAATACTCATGGAAGAATATTGCATTATCCATTTGTAAAATATCATAATACGGAAGTTCATTTTTTCTTACTATTACGATATAATCTTCAAATTCTGTATTATGCTATCGACGTTAGGACCATTTATACGAAAAGCATTTTCCAAATAATTAATGTATTTTACATAAAGCAGAGATTGCTATATTTAATCTGACAAAGGTTAATATTATATGGTTTATTTATTAATAATATACTATAAATCATATAATTCATTTATATTTTTCAAAATTCTGGATGAATCGTCTGTAGGTATAGAGACTAAAATATAATAATGATAAATGCTACCTTAATTTAGCAAATTAAAATATATGTAAGTTGAATAATATTCACGGTATTATTAGTTTCTAATAAACAATATATATATATATATATATATATATATATATATTATTCATTTTGCCTACACATTTCAATAATAATGAAATAAATAAATATATTTCAAATATTACGACAAATTTCTATACAGATTTAAATATTAAAGAATATTATTCTATTATATGTGGTTAATAGCTTGGGATTAATTATCAATAGTATATCTTGCAATATCATATTGACAATACTTACATATTATAATTATACACGATTTATTTGATGTTTAACTGGCAAATATTATGTATTCAAAGATGTCACAGTATTATTGTATATTTATAAAATAAATATTTTATAAAAAAAAAATTGTTTCCGCAATACTTACTTCAACTTTATAATATAATTTTTCACATTCATACCTTTTTAAATTAATATATATATATATATATATATATATATATATATTGTGGGCTTGAGTGTTTTGTAAATGTAATTAAATGATTTTCTAGAAATATATTTGGTATAAAATGAATTTACTTTTCTTTATTTAAATATCCTATTTTTCCTCGCATTAATTATAAGGACTTTAAATGTTTAGGCAATGATAAGTATTGAATTATTTATAGGGTATTAGCAATGAAGTAAAAACATTGTTACAAGAGCTACAATGTATTACCAATGAAAATAAAAACATTGGTTACGCAATTTAATATCAAATGTAAAAAATCAATATAATGAAATTAATGAATGTTATAAATAATAAATAGGATAATAGATAAAATACAATAGAAATAGTATTTTCAAAATGCTGTATATTCTTACTGCGTACAAAAGTAATATATTGTTTTCCTTTAAACAGTAAATTTTTCAAAGTCCAAAGCAAAATGAAAAAAAGTATTTCATTTTTGAGGGCATGCATGACAATAAGATGAATGTTACTTTCGGAGAAAGTTTAGATGTGAATTTGATGAAGATAGGTATCCCAAAGTCCAATATACTAAGGGAGGATAAGAGTAATTTGGTTGCGTATACCAATACCCGATAAAATGAATGAGGACACTATTTTGAAATACCATTCAAATATCGCAAATAATAGTACATCCGAATAATTGCAGAAGCAAGCTATTGAGTTGATTGATTAATCATCATCGCTCTATATGATACGAAGCATTAAAATAATTTAATAAAGAATTCAATTATAAGAGCAGGAACAAATATATTTACTTGATAAATTATTCAGTAGTTTATACAATCTTGAATTTCATGCTAAAATAGCTGAATTTTATAACTTATTAGAATGAAAAAATTATAGAAAAAATATCAATTGAAAATATCATTAGGATTTGAAATAATCTACGAATGCGAGAATATATGCAAATGGTTTTTCTAATATTTATTTAATAAATTCTGTATAAAAGATCCCTTTTAAATACTTTATTAGCTTAATTTGTAATTATTACCAATTAACTATATCGGCATATCGGAATAGGCATTCTAAACACCATAATTAAGAATTATATAATGACCATTTATTTTATTTTTATAAAGCCATGATTCTGCAGGCTTAACAAATGCGTTCAAATATTTTCATAAAATTTCATTAAGTAGCATTTAATCTTCGCTCTATAAATTCGGTAGTATAATGGCGTTCCACCTACAATTAATTAAAAACACAAAAAATTTTTAAATTCTACTTAAAAGAATATATAGAGTGGCAATTTATATGAAAATCTATCGAAAATATTTAATAATAATAATAAAGTTGTACTCTACTATGTATTTTGTACGATGTACTATATGTATATGTACTTGGAAGTTCGAACTTGGATAATTTACAATTGTTTTGCATTTAATCGTAAATATCTGTTCAACACTTCCTATTCACACGACATGGCGTACAAAATACACGGAACTAAAACCACCACTTAATATAAGTTTTGATATCAAAGTATACGAACACATCATCGTTATCAATCGTAAAGAACATACCGAGAAGCAAACAAAGACTCTCGAAGCAAATTTATAAAGGATTACCGCGCAATGGTAATACTCTTTCGGAAAATGTACTATTATCAACAATGATTAACGTAATCTTATTAATTAGCGTGCATAATTAATTAATCAATGTAATTTATTATTGTCACTTGTCAAATACTTTTATTACGTATAAGTAAATTTTACGTTTTCAATTAAGAAAATTATATGAAAAATCAACATCTTTTATATAGAAATTTAAATAATATTAAATAAATAAAGGAACAAAAAAAACATAATTTTTCTGTATAAAATGGTATAATGTACATGTGCACTGAAAAGTGTTTCCATTTTATGATTTTTTTAATAATTAACATTTTAAATAAATTCATTTTATTTATTAGATATATTAATACAGTTATTTTTAACTCAATTATGCTCCAAGGATGAATCAATCAATAATCTATTTGAGTTTTAAAACACTACAAGCTAAGTAATTATTGTATCTACAAAATAAAATTCTGCAATATCTCGATAAATACTATTAATAAACTTGAGTAAATTCTATTTTAAATTTTATATTTAAATCTACATTTATTTGATGCATTTGAAGAAAAAATTACAATATCGATTAAAATATCAATCGAGCAAACATTTTATAGTATAAAAACAAAAGGAGATATCAATATGTTTGGATTGTCTAAGATTGTAAATTAAATATCGTTAAAATTTACAAGAAGAAGAAGAAGAAACAAAGAAAATTACATTATAATCAAAAACTGCAATTTGAAGCGCTAACAGTATAAGAATAATTGTAATAAGGTCGACGAGAAATCGGGAGGAATAATCCCGTAAACGATAATAATCGGAAAAGGTTATGCTTCGAACTCAGGTTAGTGGTTCAAGAGAAGATGATAAAGTCAGACAGACGCTGGATCATATTTGAAGATAATGTATACCTGCTTACATTAAGAAATTCTAAAGCAGGACATTTCAAGAAGTAACGCTTATGAATACATAATGAGAATTATCGCATAGAGAGCGAGAGAGAGAGAGAGAGAGAGAGAAAGAGAAAGAGAAAGAGGCAGCTCCGTAACGAAATACCTACGAAATCTATAATAAAAACAAAAGAAACAAAAATCAAAAAAAAAAACGAACAAACAAAAAAAGCGAAATTGCGTATTAGTAAGAAATGTGAGCGTGAAAAAAGAGAAAGTTTCATTGGAAAAGGGTAGGTAAACAATTTTTAGTATAATGATAGATTGCAAAAAAGCAGAGAAACAAGCATGAACGTCACATTGGAAGAATCATATGTTAAAAGATTTTGCGTAGATATAGCCCAGAAAAAAAAAATTAAATTTGTTTAAAACAGCCAGGCCTTGGTGAAGAATCATGGAAGGTAATACAGAGTCAAAGGATCGAGAAATATGTGCACATCTAAGCGAAGGAAAGGAAGCCTCGAAGGATGGTAAGATGTTTGGCGAAGCACTTCCCAGAGAGGCGCGCAACTCTGCAGAGAATTTAAGAAGCGAAAGAACAAAGTAACGGAAGATTTAGCTTGCTTTGCTTTATCCCAATGCTAAGCGATCAAGTAAGATTAATTAGTATGTGAAAAGAGAGAGAAAATGCAAGTAAGCCAGATATTTATTTTCGTAAAATTTTGACAGTCCGAGAGCGTCACTTTTTCATATAATATTTTATAAAGTTTATCTATGAATAATGATCAAGTTCATTTCCGCCTTTGTTTATTAACATTAATGCCCGTCTGTATTTTCAATGTTTAATTAATTATATAAGAATATCTGTTTGACTTATAGATCATTATTAATACGAGATATTTTAATTCTGTATATGTGTTAATTTACTTTAACCATGAATATTGAGAATAATAACATTTCACGGGAGTCGCAAGGGATCTTTAATTTGCAAAGTAAATTTTTTTTGAGTGACGTATGATAAAACTTTTTATTTATTTATGAAGAACGAAATTATACTTCGTATTTTCATAAATTTCATATTAAAATCAAAATAATCTTATTTGCTAAAGAAAATAAACTTGCGGATCTAAATGTGGTTTTATGTTGTTAAAAATAAAATATTCTTTTAAGTATAAAGCCATCATATTGAATACATTAATAGCTCCGTACAATCATAATAAATCAATCTATTCAGTGAAATTATACATTACGTCATATGCTAATTTTCTTTTTAACGTCACCTACCACAGATTACTATGTTGGAGATGATGGTCCACCCGTCCAACAAAACGTATACGCTTTCTCCGCATTTTAGTGGAGAAACAAAACACGAAGCTCTTACTAAAGCGAAAAAAATTCTGTCATGCAACCGTGAATAAACTTCGCAAATTGCAAATCTCAAAGCCGAAGACTTTACGTCATATGGAGAAAGAAATGTAAGGGCTTTTAAAATGGTCGCGTGCGAAAACACTTAACTGTATTATGAAGATAGAAACTTCTTCGTCTCTACGCGTTCCTCTTTCAAAACAATTAGAAATGACTAATGAATTGAAAATTATAATTTGGTTAAAAAAAGTTAACATTTAAAATTCCACTAAAATATCTTCAAATAGGTTCTTTATACGTGTATATGATTTCTTATGATTTCTTTCTCACATGATATTATAAACAAAATATAAAATACAAAATAGATGTGTCATTTTTT